TTTGTGAGAGTTTGCAACATTTCAGAGATTAGATTCTCTGTACCAGAGGCCGTGTGCTGCCCAGCCTGAGATCGGGGATCAGGTATGCACAGGTACCCAGGGACCATAGTAAGACAGCCAGGCAGGCCCAGGTGGCCACCAACCAAACCTCCCATCCCCGTACTCCCCAGAGGCCAGTGGGCTGCAGAGGGCTGGCTGCAGGCAGCCTGCCTCCCCCACCTTATTCCCAGGGTGGGACAGGCCAGGCTCCTGGCAGTACCTGATTCCATGGCTCCAGATCCCACTCCCCTACTCTACTCCTGCAGGCCAGGTGGTTCCCTGTGCTGCTGCCCAGCCCACAATGGTCGGGCTTAGGAGCATAGGGCTCCCAGATGACTGGGAGGAGGAGCTGCCCACCCTCCTGCCCTCCCTGCAGGGGGTCTCTCCGGGGAGGTACCCTGGAGCAGCCCCCTGCCCCCTCCCCCCACTGCTGCATCTTGGCGGCAGTGTGGGAGGAGCTGCTTGCTTGGACTGAGAGGTGCCCAACCTACTATGCCCTGCTGCCACTGTTGGCCATGGTGCCCTGGGCATACCAGCACACCTGGTATAGGACCCTGAGCTATGATGGCACAGGAGAAAACCTGAGCTGCTCCACAACCTCCACTGCTACCTAGAGAGCTACCTGTGGCTGCACTACATGTCCTGCTCCCCATAGCCAATGAGGCCCTTGTCACCAGCATTGATGCATTCCTCAGAGTGTGAGAGGCCCATGCCCACCTAGCTGTGGGGGCACGGGCTGCTCAATAAAGTTTTGCAGTGTTTCCCTCCTCTGTATATGCTGTGAGGGGGCAACCTGGAGCCAGGGAGTGCAGCCAGGCTGGGTAGGGATGGGGGGCAGGGGCAGAGGCCAGGGTGGGGAGGCCCCCAGTGGGGACTTAGCAAGTGGCCAGGGCTGGCATAGCTAGCAGATATGTTCGGTCCCAGCTGTTGGTGACATCATGCAGCTCCAGCTAGTGTCCTCAGATGGTGGGGTGCAGCATGCAAGCACCCAGCTGGGGGCCACCCTAAGGGAGGAGCCTGTTCTGCTGGTGGCTGGTGGTATCTTGGCCAGCTGCACCTTGTGGCTGGCCCTGAGACTATAGAGCTGGTGAGGGAGTTGCTGGCCCAGGCTTCCTGAGCTGTTGGTGGAGACTGCAGCTGGGACCTCAGCGAGACAGGCCACTGGACACCTGAGGGGCCCTCCTCTGGTGACATGTCACCAGGGGTACTAAGGTGGGGCAGGATCTTGGGCAGGTCACCTGTGCTGCTGTAGACAGTACAGCTGTGGCCTGGGTCCCAGGGTGCAAAAATGTCAATCAGTTGATGCATAGAGGGCATGGACTTGCAGGCACTGCCAGACCAATGATTGTGGTTGTTCATGGTGACCCACATGGCATGCGACTAGCAGCCACACAGCACTGGCAATGCCCCATAGCACCTGCAGGCTCCAGGCAGGCTGCTGGGGGTGTGCTGCAGATGGGTGGAGCTGGACCTGCTGGCCAGAAGCTGCCTGCAGCTGGGCCTGGGGGCTGACAGGCTTGCCCGGAGGCTTCAGCACCCTGAAGTACCCTGCAGGCCTAGACTGTGCTGCCCTGGTAGCTGCATGGCAGTGCGATGCCAGGCAGCAGCTCTGGGGTGCGGGTAGGCTGACACAGCTAGGATGTAGCCTGTCCAGGGGGACACAGGGGCCTGCAATACTCTCAGACTCCCTGCTGGTATACCCCAGGACTCAAAATGGCTGCAGGATTTTAAAGCCTGAGACAAGGCTGCCATAGAGGCAGCCCAGCCCTGGGACAGGAGAGGCTGCCAACCTGGAGCCCTGGGGCTAGCCTCAGGCCAGTCTCCTAGTAGTAGAGCTGATGTGGGGACAAACTTGCTCCCAGGTCACATCTATACATGCATAACTATGCAATAATGAATCACATTTAAATTTGTTACCTTCAAGCATGATTTACTGTACAGTAAACGCACACATAGGTAGATGCACAAGCTCACTGCACAGTAAACTAAGCTACTGCACAGTTAGGCATCTTGTGTAGATGCACCCAATGCGGGTAGAGACAGGGCTGGAACCAGAACTTCTGCTACCACTGGTGCCAGATAGTGGTGGGTAGAGGGCCAAACCCAACACGTGCTCCATTTTTCTGGCTGGAACTCAGAGCCAGAGCTGATTCACAGGATAATTAGTGGCAGGGGACACAAGTGGTTAGAGGGACACAAGTGGCAGAGGGGGCAAATTTAAGACAGCCCTCCAAAAATTAGCTCCTATACATGGAAAATTATAATAAATGTATAATTTTCCATTTCTAGAATTTAATTATTGGGAAGTCATCTTAAATTCAAAGTCATGTTGGGCTTGGGTATATATGATATATTGATTTCTATTTCTATTTCTGTTTCTTCTCCAACATTCTTTTGTGCCTTTCCTAAAAAAAAATAAGCACTTAAAATACTCTGAAGACATAGGAAAATTACCTAATAGATTCCTCCATTTTTTTTCAAGATGTTGGCTACATGGGATCTCTGAGTTCTATTAATTTCTTTTCTAGAAGTTACCAGTATGCTTGCCTTGTGGAAAACTGAAATCAGAAGGTTTTAAATAGTGGAGAAGGATGGGTGATTCTTAGCATGCACTTAAAGAAAGACTTCAGAAAAAATATACAAATGAATACTTGTTTTCTGGAATTGCTGCATCTTATTTAATGACACTTTTCAGTGAGGTTCAAAATGGCACAGTGAGGGGTTTTCCAGCCCTGACATCACTTTGTATTCCTGCTGACTTTACTAAATGATGAAAATATTTATATAAGGCAGACTTGGAAGTTGGCTAAAGAACAAAGTAGAGCCCCACAGGGACGGTAGTGCTGCAAAACCCAAAATTCAGCATAGTCCAGACATTCTGAGCAGTTTGGCAAGATGCACATTGCCTTCCCATTGTCTCTTACTCTCCTCTGCTTCATCTTCAAATCTCATATGTTCAAAGTTTCTCTCTTTCCAATGAAGTAACCAAATGCTCCAAACTGCAAATCAGGAGTGCAGAGGTCTTCATTTCAGTCAGCAATGGAATCAATGGACAATTGCATTATTAAGCAATTACAGATACATATTTTTTTAAGCTAGCTTTCATGTGCCAACAAAAATCTTCAATTTCATTGAAACCCAGAACTCACTTATGAGTTCAGGCACTTGGACACACATGTCTCCATCACGAAGGCATAAACTTTGGCTTTGTTCTCTGAAATAGGGGAGTTCTGTCCCTACACTGCTTGGAAATGTCTGATAATCATTGCTTTACAAGCTGTCCATTTACCTGAGGCTGCAGCACCATTAGAGTTTTTAAAATTGTTGTTTGGATGACAATTCTCTGGACCAGAGTTAAAAGGCAAGCTTTGGAAATATGTCCTTCCTAGGGCTATTTTGCCACCAACTACACCATCCACAAAAAGAGAGTTAAGGTAAGCATGAAATAAAGTTAAGTGCCTAAATAACAGAGATGGCCATGAAGTTACTGATGCCAGCATATTTTATGTTTTCACTCCAATGAGAGTTTTTCTGTGGTTAGGTTTAAGTTCCAGACACATTTCCAGGGTATCTGCAGGCACAAGAGTGGAGTGGACTGTGTATTATAAACCCTTATCATAACCATGCACTAAGCTCAAGGCCACTGATTTTTCAGTGCTCACTGTTAACTCATCCTCTTTTCTTCTTCATATTCCAAAGCCAGATCCAATTGTTCTATGTGACTTCCACATCCACACTGAGGTTGGCTTTTCAGGGTTTGAAAGCCATCTGGAAGTTTCAGCTGTTACAGAACGTGGTGGCCCACCGTCTAACAGGGTGGATCACTGGGAGCACGTAACTCAAGTGCCAGAGTCTGCACTGGCTCCCAATGGCTTTCTGGGAGCAATCCAAGGTCTTGGTATCAAACCATATGGCCTTATAGCCCAAGCACTATATATCGGGGGGACTGCCTTGTCCTTTATGCCCCATTGCAATCCCCAAGAGCAACCTGCAAGTATCATCAATGCATCAAGTTTGCTTGGAAAAAGCATATTGGAGCTCATCCCTTAGCTCTAGTACTGCACAGTAGCGCATCACAGAACAAACAGTGCTAATACACTACTGCACATTATTATTAGGCTATTGTGCAGTCACGTCACTTAATAGGCATTCACCAGTGCTACTACACAGTAACACTAGTCACTGTGCATTTATTTAGCACTTGATTATACAAGTAGTAAATTAAATGCACAGTAACCACTGTGCATTAATGAATGTGTAGATGCACCCAGTTTGTTTTAATCAGCTACTGGCTTTGGTATGTTACTTTGTTTCTCCTGTTTTGTTCTCTTGTTCACTTGTTTTAGAAAAGAGGAAAATAACTTATACATGCCTCCTTGAGCTTTTTATATATTGGGAGGGGCAGCATATAAATCTAATAAATAAATAAATAAATAAATAGCCCTAGATATTTGCAAAATGACTTTCACTACTCTCACATGCACCAGTAGAGGTCACCATACACCTCATTAAGAGCATAGGCTTTGAGACTAAGGTCTGAGGCACCACAGAAGATATTAGGTACAAATGCAGATATATAAAAATATGCAAATGAACGTGAGTGACAAGTTGTGTTTGATGGAGACAAGCATAGGTGCCTAGGATTCTTTCACATGTCTTTGAAGGGCTTTTCAGTTCTAACCTATAACTCATTGCCCTTCTAGCTCTTGTTTCCACAGTCTCTGCTACTGAACCCCTTATCTTCACATGCAGCCCACCACTCTGGTGTCCCACTTTTTTGCCTGTTGATCTAGAAACTGACACTAATGCCAAGTTGTGCGACTGCTGTCATGAAGAAGGCTAGAATGAATCCATTATACTCACTTCCACTTGTGACTTAAAGCAAGATTTAGTTCTTTAATCATATAGCTGGGTAAGCTGCCATGAATACAGTTCACACAAAATATGCATTTGCCTCATAGAAAACCAGGACTCCAGTAGCAAGCCAGAAGCCAGCAGCAAAGCACGCAAGGAGAGGACAGCTTTCACCAAGGAGCAGCTGCGGGAATTAGAAACAGAATTTGCTCACCATAACTATTTGACAAGGCTCAGGAGATATGAGATAGCAGTGAACCTGGACCTCACTGAGAGACAGGTACTTCCTGAATCCCTGCCTCTTCAACTGTGATTTTACAGAGTTATGTCTGCCTACACAAGAAGGTGAATGATATATATTCATGTGACACCTATTTCTACCTTTGCAAATGTGCATAAATACATGCACATACCCTAAAAATGTTGTAACATATATAGCAACTGTATTTTAACTATGACATAACCAAGAAACTCATTTTTGGTATTTGGTTAAATTGGTTTATTTTCATGTAAGCTGCAGAAAACGAATTAATAGATGACTAGTGCCCAGAGCCTTGACACATCTTAATTATTTCTCAACATTCACTGGCACACACCAACAGGCTCATAACTGAAGGAGGATCTGGTGATACTTTGCAGACTTTGATGAGCGTGACTGAGCTGAGGCAATCCTCTGAAGTTCCCAGATCCTGTAGAATCCCAGGAAGCTTCCTGGCTCAGTGATAATGGGCACGGGCATGACAGGACATTAGATTCTTATTTGACAAGGTGACCTCCTTATGGCTAGGGACAGAAATTACACAGAAACTGGTATAAGTGATAGAAAACTGGTTCAAATCTGTAACACAACATAAATTCAGTACACATAAACCACTTTCAAAATGGCGAAAACTGGTTTAAGATAAAACTGGATATATATAATGGATGTATATCAGACTTAACTGATTTAGGTTAATTAGTTTATTGAATTTCTGTCCCAGATGCCCTCCAGAATCAAGTTAACTTGCGGTCCCCCAGCATCCCAGGATGCTTTGCACATCCCCCACAAAACCCTGCTCTCACAGGGTGGGTGGGCTAGCATTGGCCCAAACTGTCTGCTCCAGCTGCGTAGGGAGGCGTGCCCTAGCGCCACCCGGCTTTTGGTCTGGGCCACTGCAGGCATGTGGCTGCATTTCTGGAATCAAAAATGAATGTCTGTTCACTTGTTTAGTGGTTCAATCGACACAGCTTAGACTAACCTGAGAAGATTGAATTGATGCAGCCTCAGGCTTTTGACTGTCTGTACTTAGCCTATAGGCTAGAAAGATGTTGAGCAATCACTTGAGAGCATAAGAGTGTAGAGAATTAAGGAGGTCAGCATGCTTTCATCCTTATGGTGTACTCTTAACAAGGGGCCTTACATCAGAGCTTAATAAATGTTCAATAAAGGAATCAATCAAGTGAAGAAAAAGAATTATAGAACTTTAAAGAATTGATTTTGTTGGAATGAGACACCTAAACACCTATAAAAAGCTGGCCTTTTGTGCTTAGCCGATGCAGAGAAGGGCCCATTAGAAATATGATGCCCAGACAGATGTAGAGGTAAGGAAACTGATCATCAATTCTTTCCCTTTCTAATTCAGGTTAAAGTGTGGTTTCAAAACCGAAGAATGAAGTGGAAGCGTGTTAAAGGTGGGCAGCCAGTGTCCCCTCATGAGCATGACCCAGAAGACATGGACTCTGCTGCCTCCCCAAGCTCTGACTAGTCCCTCTGCAGCAGTAGTACACTGAATATGGGAAGCACTATTGATCAGAACATTGATGCCATACAGTTCAGAAGCAGCTGCATGATTTTCAGACACCCCTCCTTGTCCTCCTATGCCGTTCTAAGATCTGTGATGTCTCGCCACTCAGAGGTGACTGTGCAAGGCCCAGGGGAGTGATAAGAGAAAGGTCTGGCTTTGATTTTTGTCTGAATGAACCAAGATGTCCAGCACTGTCTGAACAATGCCAGTGTATATACAATGCTAACTAAAACCACTGAATATGAAGTAGAAATAAAGCTGCCTAAAGCTGGCTTTCTAAGAACGTGGCTGTAAATCCTCAGAAAATGCATGTTTCAAGGCAGCATTTTATGATCAAGCAAAGTAGTTATACAGCTTCCCATTTTATAATCTTTAAAAAAAGTGCAGCCCCAACTTATATACAGGCCTGTGCCTGCCATTTGTGGAAGAGATCGTGTCCAGAAAGACATGGATTTCCATTAGAGAGCCAAGATGACAGGTGCCTTGCTGATTCCAAAAGTTTGTTTAATTACTCTTATTGGATACCTTTAAAGTTCCTTGAGCATGTCAAGAATCATCACTCTTCTGGACCAGAAGGTGAAATGTGTTTTGGTATGTCTTCTAAAAGAAAGCTGTTCCTTTCTGTTGTGTTACTCATAGTTGCCTGTGGAACTCCTCTTGGTATTTACCTGCTGTGTCCTTGGTTAGAGCTCAGGATTGTTTGGGCAAACAGGAAACAGTGTCCTGTGAGATGACTTAGTTGAATTAATTTGTCTTAAATTCTTGTTTCTTTTCTTTTTGGTGAAAGAACTTTCTTCAAATAAGCATGCGTGTGTGTCTGTGTGTGTGAATTATGTATAAATATGTGTCCATAATGCTGTGTGTTGTGTGGATAAATATTTACTACATATGCACTCTTCTCAATTGCTGAGCTGATCAAATTAGTGATTCATTATCTGAACAATTTAGTTATTTTTTCTACCTGGAAACTTACTGTGAAGAGCTTGATTTTTGTGAATTGATTCACCATTTGCAGCTGTTTGGATAGCTGATGCAAACACATTTTTGCCTATGAATTGTTTGCATACTGTTTATTTTTAACTGTTTGTAGTTTGTGATTGGCTGTCCATGCCACATGAAATTGGTTTTTGATCCCCTGATGGGATGACAGACTTTTTAAAAAAGGAGACTAGTGAACAGTAAATGAAGGAAAGGAGGCATTTAATAACTAATTCTCTTATGTGTGTACATCCATTTTAGTATTGAAATATAGGTGCTAGTGTGAAGAGCAACATTTCAAAACATCAGTGTAACAAAACACAGACACAAACAGGTGGGGGCATCATCATCATCAGTCATTCTCATATCATGGGACTGCCACGAACGATAACTAGGGTTGTTTAGCTCAGTGGAGGCGATACATTGTCTAGGAGATTTCTGCAAGATCTTTTGATAGAAGGTGAAAGAGCGACAGCACAAAGGAATTGTGCCAACTTACAAAAGTGCATTTGCACCTTGAGGAGACTAATGTATGAAGCTATCCTAAGATTAAAAAAAGGAGTGTGTACAGGCAAATTAGTTTTACCACAGGATAAACTGACCAAGGTCAACCTTTACCCACAAGTTGACCTCATGGTAAACCCTTGCCAGCTAAGAGTTTTAACTTGAGACTTCTCATGTAGATTAGTTACCCCAAGGTTTAAAAAAAAAAAAAGTTTTGTAGCAGTCCAGGAAATCCAAGTGTTGTAACAGAAACAGTAAGGAATTAGTTTGTGTGAGGCATGGGCGACTAGTGCCTCCTGAGTCGGGGGGGAGGGGGCACTTACCCCCCCAAATGGACAGTCAGCAACCGAGAGGGGTCCCCCAGTGGCCGATCCCACAGGGTGGGCACTTCTGGGGTGCTGCTGGCACTTCTGGGTCAGTGGGATTGGCCATGAGGGGACCACTTCTCCAGGCGCCGTCTCCAGCTGGCACTCTCAGGCCTGCCCCCTGTGCACCCCCACTCCAGGAACACTGGCTGACAGGGGGTGTACCAGCGTTCTCAGGTCATGTACATGCACCCCCTATGCATTGCCACTGGTGTGAGTTATAAGGTATCCAATGCAAGAGTTTTTGCAAATGTGTGCTATGGATACTAGTGTGATTCAAAACTGTGCAGTTCTGTTCTTCCCTTTGGCACAGGCTGGAGGCATTTCTCAGTGTTTGGTTATCTCTTCATTTGGGAGAGATAAGTTGGCATTTTACCAAAATCTTTAAGTGAATCCCTAATACTGAGACACTGGTGCTCTTTTTCGTAGTTAAATAAATAAAAAAATTGCCAGTACATCATTTTGATTTTATCTCAGGATCTTTAAAAGGCCCTGGCAGCCCCATATGTTTCAACAATGTTACCTGAAATTGGCCTCTTTTCTAGAAGTTTGTTTTATATCAAATTACTGTATGAATAGTTTTAGGGAAAAATAGTGTTAGCTTCCATAAAATCTAATTCCTTTTGTCTCTTTATTTTGTATTTTCTAATGTAATATTTCCATATCATAACAAAACATCACTCTTAACATTCTGAGAACAATATATGAAATGTTGACTTTTAAAGTACTGAAGATCACATATAAACATTTCGAGGTATTTGCTATCAGATGATTTCATGCTGTTTGCACATTCCTGGAAGCCAGTATCATAGTATTGAATTTTGATTTTACTCTCATACACTGTTAATGAGTTTTAACCCAGACAGATCCAACATGCTCTACCAAACACTGATCTCTGCTTCTTTATACCCAATTTGTAAGCATTGCAGATATATTTGAACACCTGCTTTCATATCTGGATGACCAATTTAAAAATATAGTTGTTACACTTTGTAAAATATTTCCAAAAAAATATATACAAAAATTAATGTAACCAAGAATACAGGATCCTTTTCAAAAACTAAAAATATTGTGTCCACCCATCACAATTACCTCCTTTCTTTTGAAATATCCAATTTTTTGTGAGACTTGTGAAAACAAAGAAAGCTAAACTGCATATTTGCATATAATGGCTTAAAATAAAGTAGCTCAGAGAGGGAAAAGCTATTTCTTTATTCAAACAATAAAGCGTGAAGGAAATTAAAAAAATAGGGAACTTATATTTTCATGTTAAAAATATAAAGCCTCCAAGATTTACTTTTTTCATTATATCATTTATCTTGACTTTAAAAAAGCCTTTGATCTAGCATCCCATGATCACCTCTTAGGAAAACTGGCTAACTGTGACCTTGGCCTCACCACGATCTGCTGGCTGGGGAACTGGCTCCATGTTCGGAGGGTGGTGGTTGATGGAAGCCAATCATCATGGTGCACTGTGACCAGTGGGGTCCCTCAAGGCTCTGTTCTTGGGCCTACACTATTCAACATCTTCTTCAATGATGTGGACACTGGTATCAGAAGCAGACTGGCCAAGTTTGTTGACGACACCAAACTCTGGGGTAAAGTGTCCACACCTGAGGACAGGGGGGGTAATCCAGGCTGATCTCATGAAATGGGCGAACAAGAACCTGATGGTGTTTAACACCAAAAAATGCAAGGCTCTTCAGCTGGGGAAGAAAAACCTGCAGCTTCCTTATAGGCTCGGCAGTGCTACCCTAGCTAGCGCTATGGGCAAAAAGGGCTTGGGGATCGTGATTAACCACAAGATGAACATGAGCCTTCAATGTGATGCTGCGGCTAGTAAAGCGAGCAAAATGCTGGCTTGCATCCATAGATGCTTCTCAAGCAAATCCCAGGACGTCATTCTCCCATTGTACTCGGCCTCGGTGAGGCCGCAGCTGGAGTACCACATTCAGTTTTGGGCTCCACAATTCAAAAAGGATGTGGAGAAGCTTGAGTGAGTGCAGAGGAGTGCCACATGGATGATTAGAGGTCAGGAAAACAGACCATATGATGAAAGGCTGAGAGCCAGGGGACTCTTCAGCCTGGAAAAGCGCAGGCTCAGGGGTGATCTGGTGGCCACCTATAAGTTTATCAGGGTGATCACCAGGACCTAGGGGAACGTCTCTTCACCAGAGCACCCCAAGGGATGACATGGTGGAATGGTCACAAACTCCTCCATGACCATTTCAGGCTGGATATAAGGAAGAACTTCTTTACTGTCCGAGCCCCCAAGGTTTGGAATAGACTGCTGCTGGAGGTGGTTCAAGCACCCACTTTGAACACCTTTAAGAGACATTTGGATGTTTATCTTGCTGGGATCCTATGATCCCTGCTGACTTCCTGCCCCTGGAGCAGGGGGCTGGACTCATTGATCTTCTAAAGTCCCTTCCAGCCCTAATGTCTATGAAATCTATGAAATTATTTATAGTTCTGTTGTGTGTTTGAAAAGTGAAGATTGGTAACTCTGTCAACATTCCACCATGACAATGAAACTTCAGCCTTTATAGAGATATAATAAAGAGACCACAAGCTTTCTAGAACTAAAGTTCCCTTCATCAGATACTGTGAAAGGACATACATACAGAAAGCAGAACATGAAGTGGAATAAGTGATTAGAATATATTAGGTAGGAAAGCAAGAGGGAGAGAGCTGGATGGAGGGGGTGGGGGGAGGAGGAAAAATGCTGTGAGAGTCATACAAGCAAAGAACCCATAGGCCATAGACAGAAGTTATGTTTCTTATGTGCTCAGCCCCCTGAAAGCACTCTATGGCTGTGCCATGACACACGTGTATGGCCAATCACACAACAAATTAACCCTCATCAAATGAGGTATTAGATGAAGGCGCTCCACTTTAGAGAGCCCTAGGGAACTTGTATTCCCTAATGTTCATTTGTTGTGTGATCAAGGCTGGGCTGCATCAGCCCAACCCCAACCCTGGGACTGTCAGCAGGAAGGTAGGGCAGAGGTGGGGAGGGGAAGCAGGCTGCCAGCTGGAGTTTGCCCAGCCTGAGCTGGAAGGGGGTGGTGGATTGGAGCCCCCCAAGCCTGTAGCCCCCTCCCCAACCCCACCTTCCTGTTCAGGCTGGGCAAATCCCAGTGAGCACCTTGTTCCCCCTCCCACTTCCTTCCTGCTAATATCCCCAGAGCTGGGGAGATGGGCAGTAGGGCTGTGAGAAGCTTCAGGTGGTGATTCAATTCAGAGGTGATTCAGCCTGAATCTGAATCGAATCAGGGGACCAATTTAAAGGTGTGAATTATTCAAAGCTCTCTGAAGCTTTGGCAAAGGTTCAGAGAGCTTTGATGATTTGGGCAGTCCCCAGTGCCTGCAGCAGAGAGTTACAGCCATTGCAAGATGGTAAGTCCTAGGGGTTGAAGAGGGGGGAGGGGACAATGGGGGACCCCATGGCTGCCCCCGCCAGCCCCAGGTCATTAATTTAAAGAAAAGCCCCAGTGTTTACCAGGTACTGTTGCGTGCGGGGTGATCCCCACTGCCCCATGCTGCATGGGGAGCTCTGCAGCCCCCTCAACCCCTGCCCTGCTCCCCCAGCCCCCCCATGGATGCCCCACCTGCCGGGGCTCTGGCCCTTTAAGAAAAAAAAAATGCAGAGAAAAGCCCTAGGACTCACCACTCCTTGTTCAGCCTCGGGGCTTGGGGGGCTCCTGCAGAGCCCCCATGTGGCGTGGGGCAGTGGGGATCACTCCCCACCAGCAGGAGCAGTGGGTCCCGGGGTTTCTTCAGGTTTTTTTTTCTTAAAGGGCCAGAGCTGGCCCGTGCGGGCAGCTGTGGAGGG